AATGATAAACAGGAAATTTTGGCCACATATAGTAGATCAGATGTAAATATTTTTAAAAGATAGAGAACTTTTTCAGCAGTGTAAGAAAATAGGCAAAGTACATAAACATAAAGGACATACCAATGCCTGATAAAACTTCAGCCTCCTTAACCATTCAGGAAATTCAGTTTAATATGAATTGTTATCACGCTATTAAAATGACAGACATCAATGATAGTAATATTCAATTATTGAAAGGATGTGGGGGTCACCCGAGTATTCTCACAAATAGCTTATATGGATAGAAATTGGCACAATCTTTTTGGAAGCAGTTTGGTCATATGTATCAAGAACTATGAAAATCTTATCTGTTTGTCTATAAATTCTAAAGTATATCCTAAGGAAGTATATCCAGAGTGATGAAGAAAGATTTTGGTTTAAATATATTCATTGCAATTATCAATAATAGTTGGAAAAATTAAAATGAAATATCCAACAGCAGAAGAAGATTGAAGCACATTCTTATATATCTAGATTAGAGGTTGACAAACTTTTTCTGAAAAGGACCAAATAGTAAATATTTTAGGCTTTGAAGGCCATATGGTCTTTGTTGCAACCACTCAACTCAGCTGTTCTAGTGTGAAAGCAGTGTCAGATGATAGACATATGAATGAATATAGCTCTGTTCCAATAAACTCTGTTTTAAAAACAGGGCCAGATTTGACTATAGGTCAATAGGCCACACTTTGCCAAACCCTGATGTATGCAATAAAATGTTACAGAACTGTTAGAAACTGTTTTGAGAAACATTTAGTGACTAAGTTAAAAAAAAACCCCACAAACTTAGAACACTAAAATATTAATTAGAAGAAAAGTTTGGTAGAACATATGCCAAATTGTTTATGTTAATAATATCTCGATGCTTCAATTACCTGCTATCTTTATTTTCTTCTTTATACTTGGTTGTATTTTACAGATTTTCTCCACAATAAATGCATTTTAGTTTTGTAATCTAAAAATAATTTGCCTATTTTTCCTTAAAGCTTTGACATAACACAAAGAATCAATAAAAATAGTTCTCCTGGGATAGCAGAACTATGGATGAATTTAAAGAAATACTTTTGTGGTATTTAAAGTTGACTTATTAAGGATATTTTTTAAATTTCAAAAATTAAGAAAACATGCTTTGGTGTTAGTGCAAACTCTAGCTGTGTTCACAACAAAAGGATAACTTGATTCTATTTGGAAACAAGAGCTCTGTGAAAAAAATAATATAATAATTATTAGACAAATTAGCCCCAGAGGCAGAAATGTGATTTGATCAAAGAGATATACTGCATTTATTTTCAGAATCAAATTTCTCCTATTTTCCTGCTAAAGAGCATTTGTCTCTATATTTTTAGAGTTGCAAATGTCATACTGGTTGTTTTCTGATGCTTACTAGGTAATTTAAGGCCTCACTGGCCATTGCTGACGAATCTGGAACTCACTCTGAATGATGCTGGTGGCAGGGGGACCTTGCTAAGTACTGGTAGTGGCCAGGAACTGTCCTGGTGTTTTCACAGATCATGTTTAGCCCTCACCCCATGTAAAGAGGGAGGAGCTACTGAGCTACTACACTGATTTCACAGATAAGGATGTTGACATTCAGAGGCGACTTTGCCAAAATCACACAGGATATGGATCCATTTCTGTAGGACATGAAAATCTGCATTCTTGTTAATGCATACACTATATTCTCCTCATTTTGACCAGCATGTTTTGAAATTTTATACCTAAAATGATTTAGGACACTAAAGTGGAGCCAAATTTTAAAAAATTTTCTCAATAACAGATCTTTAAAATCTTCTGTCAAGTGGCTGACATTTTTTCAAAATTGATTGCTTTGTTGATGCCAAAGATTGAAAACAGAGAATTTGTGTAGGTCTAGAGAACTCCATACCTTTCGTGGACCTGTATGTAAATGGAAATAGAAATACCTTCAGCTGTCACAGGACTACTATAGGATTTAAAAGTGAGATAATGGAAGTGAAGGTCATTCTCAAACTTCAGCTTTGATCCTGGGGGGTTTGTAAAAAGACAGATTCCCTGCCTTTACTCTGAGAAGTTCTGCAGATCTAGGATGGAGTCCAGGAATCTGCATTTTCAACAAGCTCCCAGGTGATTCTGATTCAGGTGGTCTAAACCACATGACCAGAAACACCAGGCTGGACAAATATCAGGGGTTATGGAACTTTTTAAAAAGATTATGGGCAGATCCATTTTGGTTCCTGGTTTAAGCTGAAATGCTGTGTTGTGTCTTGAACATGTCTAGTTGAAGAGGTTGGATTGTTTGCCTCACCCCACCCACCCCCATCTTGGAAGATCGTCAGTTCAACCATGAATGTGGAGAAGGCAGGTGTGAACTTATTCACAGAAAAGACAATTTTGGAGACTAGAGCCAAGGAATTAGTAGGAATCACTGAGTTTATGTTCTGCTTCTAGAAATTGATCAGGTTGAGCAAATTTTAATTTGTCTTCTGATTTCACTGACTTGTATATTAATAATACAAAAACAATGTTTAATTTCAAGAGGGGAAGCACAAGATTATTCCAAGAAAAAAATCAAACATGCTTGCAAAATTATTTAATAAAACTTTGCCAATAAAGATGGATATCCTCCTTGAATTTATTTCATTCAAAAGACTTTCCAAGTTTTTGGAACAGGAAATATATAGGTGGGTAAACTTGGAGAAGCTTGAAGCATTGGCATGGAACCCAGCTGGGGAAAGTGCCCGTTTGCTGTGTGGGGCATGTGAGGCATGAGAGATGGGGTCTCAGTCTGACAAGGATGATTCATTCCATTGCCTGGAATCAAGGATGACCCAGGAGGGTACTTATAGGAGCTAGAATTTGTTTCCAAGGGGCTCTCCAGTCCTAGAACACTTGTTTATAACATCTACCTTCCCTGGGAGCCAAACTATGCAGATGGTACTGTACTGCTCTAAGTTTGTTCCACATTGTCCAGGGCACATGGCTCAGTGGAAAGCACTGACTTAGAGTTTTCAGACCTATGTTTAAGTTCCAGCCTGGATACTTACCAGGTTTTTGCACCCTTGAGCAAGGCATATAACTTCTATGAACCTTTGTTTCATTATTTATGAAATATAAATAGTGAATAATGAATCAATAAAATTCACAGGACATGTGTGGGATCTCAAGTAAAATATAGTTACATATATGTTTATGACATAAATATACACATACATACTTATGATATAAATAATAAGTAATAATAATGATACTTGTAATAATTATTGTGGCAGTGTCTAGGACTGTATTAATTTCTTCTTTCCTTCTCTGTGAACCAGAGGCTAGATATAAAGATTTTTCTTTTAAATAGTCATAAAAGAAGAGTATATTATTATTCTTTGAGGGTGTACTTGTTAGTTTGAAGATGATCAAATATTTGGCACTATACGTGGCATACAAAATTGTTGATCAAGTTAGATACACAATTTTTAAAAATTATAAATCAGATATGAAGTAATATAAATATAAAGTAATATAAAATCTTATGGGACTTAGAAACTATCTTTGTAGGCAATTATAAAAATGACATTCAAGATGTTTTGGGCAATGCTATTGAACAGGGATAATATCAAAATTATTCTTATTATTTCTTAATTATTTTACTTATTTGAGAAAGAGAGAGAGAGAGAACACACAGCAGAGGGAGGTGCAGAGGGAGACGCGGACTCCCCTCTGAGCAGGGAGCCCGATGAAGGGCTCAATTCCAGGACCCAGGATTATGACCTGAGCCAAAGGCAAACACTGAATGAATTGAACCACCCAGGTACCCTGGGACAGTATTAAAATTATTACTATGTTTTTCGTTTTGTACCTCTTTGTAGGGTGAGCCTCATCAGTTCTGACCAGAGGCATTGTCTTAGGAAATATTAGAATTATCATACCAAAAGTGGAGACAGAAAGAAAGGCAAGGCTTTGGCTTTCAAAATTGGAAATTTGAGTTAATTGTGAGACTTTATTAGAAGACTGAAGAAATTTCTAATGTCTGATTTCTCAGATCATCGCCAAATACACCAAGAGCAAATGTGGAGGTCTTATGTATTATTTTACTTTATAGTGAGGATACAGGATATGACATGAAGGGAGTTGGAGTCAGAGAGGAAGTGGCAGTGGGAAGCCCTCTCTCTGCTGGAAGAAAGCAAAGAGAGGCAGAATTAGGACAAAGAGCTGAGCTGTGTGTGTCTTGTCTCTTTGTCTATATCAACATTCTAGGGGTGAGATGGGGGAGCAAGAAGCAAGGAGCTTGAAGACATATACATGCAAAGGGTTCATATGCCGCTTCTCAGGAAATCGACAGCATCATTTATTTGTTGTTGCATGTTGAACTTTACATTCAACATGGCACTTGAGCAAGAGGGTGCCAGACACCTCTAGTGTAGGGAGACAACCCGGCCCTGGTGTGAGATAGTCTGGTTGCCTATGTCCTGACTATATTTTATGCAGTAATGTGAAGGTGTCTTGGGTTCCAGTGAAAAGGCAGAAGCTTGAAGTCTGGACAAAGAGGCCTCACTTAGAAGAGTCTTTGTGACTGGAGGCAAATGCAATGAACTGTAGAACCCTCAGCAAAGTAAACAAAGTATTCCTAAGAAACTATGAAAAATAAACCATGCATTGGTGAAGACCAGTGCAGAGCCCAAACTGTGTCCACATCAGAGACCAGTGGTCCTCAGAGAAAAGCATCAGAACCAGACAGATGTCCTTACTCTGCTGCTGTAATGTTATGTACATTTCCTTTTATGAACAGATACTACAAAGTGAGCTTCCTGACATTGTGGTTTTGCAGGTGCAGATCCTACCACACCATATAATACCACCAGATTGAATATTATCTTTTCTCAAAGTGAATACTTTGAATATGACTCCATTCATTTTGATTTATTTGTATTGTTCTATTTGTCAGTGACTTTCTCTGTTTTGGTCATACCTGGTATGTGCTTGCATGCTTTACTCACCTGATTCTCTTTCAGTGTCATCTGTCCCTGCTCTTTACACCCAAGGAAGGTCCTAACACATCTAAAAATCTTCTCATTCTGTTGTACTCTCTGAACAAAGTTGGCTGGAAAAAAGCCAATCCTGTCTTGAATTTTCCCCTGAAAGGAAAAAGAAGGCATGCATCCACAATTATAGCATTTGTTGTAATTTCAGTTACCAAATGATTTTTTTTAAAGAAAGAAAAATACTTACTTTCCACCAGTCTTCATTGGTGTCTTCTAGAAGTGTAATCATGTCTCCTGGCCTGTAATGAAGAGTGAACAAATTGAGCAGGGAAGGAGAGGGGGAAAAAAAGAAAAAGATGACACTTCAGAGTCACAAGTAATAGTTTTTCATTTAAACTATTTCATAATAATCCTAAAGTAAATAGAAGTAAAATAAACATGACTTCTTCCCAGTTCTCCCTACCCCTGAAAAGTTTTGTTCCACATCCAAAACAAGTATTATTATTCCCATGTTGTATTTTAAAAAATAATACTAGCATTATTTTTAAAAAATATTTTAGTTATTTATTTTGAGAGAGAGGTAAAGGGAGAGAGAGAGAGAGAGAGAGAGAGAGAGAGAGCAGGAGAACAGGCATATGTAGAAGAGAGAAAATCTCAAGTAGACTCCGTGCTGAAAAAAAAAAAAAGACTCCATGCTGAGCACAGAGTGCAATGTGGGGCTTGACCCCACAAATGTGAGATCATGACCTGAGTCAAAATCAAAAGTCAGGTGCTTAATGAACTGAGCCACACAGGTGCCCCAATATTAGCTTTATTTTTACATATAGAGAAGGGTTTTTATTATCTCTGAAAGCTTCATATTCACATTTGCAGCTTTCTGTTATGATATTATAGTGGATCTTTCCGAGGATATTATTATATTTTTAAAACAATATTTCTTTCCTTTATTGAATTCTTTGTTTCCTCTAGAATTGGTTGGCTTCTGCTTTATTCTATCACTTCTCCTTCATGTCAGAGGATTTTCTTCAACATCTTTGTTTCTTGGTTGTTTCTTTTTCTTTTCTTTTTCTTGGTTGTTTCTTTACATTAATGACTAAAAACAGAGGTGGATAGGTGTGGACCGCTGGGTGGACTTCTCTACTATCACACACATCTGCATCTGCACTGGGTCTTTCTCCCAAGTGCCAGGGCTAATTTCAGGCTCTGTTTAAGAGAGCAGGGTGCATTGATTGGCGCATCTCATTTTTGGGTGGTTGGAAGTGTAGCAGGCAAGCTGTCTTGGGTGTCCTACCACTACTTCAATGGCTGAAACAGGATGGCTCTCCTAACCCTGGTGGGGGAGAGGTCAGTTTATTCTCCTGTTAAGTACCATTGCCTTTTCATTCCCTTCCCCTGCTCTCTAGATGATCTGGGGTCTAGAGTTATCTAAACACAGCTCTTTTTCTTTCTCAGACTTCTGTGCTCACAGAGAAAGCCTCCTTGGGCATGAGTTCCCTCTATTCTGAGTACTGGTGTTCCTTTGATTCTGGAGTCAAACAAACACCATTGCTGCCTGTTGCTCATTATAAGCAGTAATGTGGGAGTCTGTATCAGTTATACACTGCCATCAGAATTCACCAAAACATATAGCCACAAAACCTCAATGAGCTGCTCACATGCCTGGTTGTTGGCTGGCTGTTGGCTGGGATGTCTGGGGAGACTTTGCCCTATTATCTGTTTCTTATACCCCAGAAATATAATTTGTACATTCATGCCAATGCCAGAATTTCAAGAGCAGCAAATGAAAACATGCAAAACATATAAGGCCTCTAAGGCCAGGCTTGGAATTGACACATTGTCACTTCTGCCTCATTTTATGGGGCAAAGCGTGTCATGAGGCCAGTCCAGACTCAAGGGACAGGATAGAGACTCCACTTCTGTGGTGACAGAAACTGGAAAGTCTCATGGCAAAGGGCAGGAGCACAAGAAAGGGTGAAGAATTGGGTCATTCATGCAATCAAGCCACTGGAGACACCCTCATGTTCTTCAATGAATTTGCTATGAGTTCAGTGTCTCCGTGAATGTGTCCCTACACCTAAATGTTACTCTTGCCTGAGCATTCTTTGTTCTCTAGGCATCTTCACTATTCTCAGTTCTGTTTGCTACAGTTTGCCTGGAAATTCTCAAAATCTGGGGTCTCAGCATTATTTCTTGTTTTCTAGTACTTTTATGGATGTATTCTTAGAGAAATATATTTCCTGACATTTTAAGGGATTGGAGCAAGAGAAGAAGTAGATCCGTGGGCTCATTTTGCTACTCTGATTCAATCTCCTCTGCTGTCATTTTCAATTCTCAGTTAATATCTATCTTCATAGGGGATTCTAAATAGAACAGGCTTGTTGCACCTGAAGCATTAAACATGAGTGGCATTTTGGTATTTCAACAGTCACAGTTCCATGCTGATGCCACAGAAAGCGAGATGGCTGAAAATCACTCTTTTCCCAGATGAGGGATTTAATTAAGCAGCAAGGATGAAAGCTGATGTAGAAAAATCTTTCTAGTTCCAGCAGATTTTACTTAACCTAATAACCTAAGAAACCATGTGTTAATATCAAGTACAATGACTTTGCTGATGGTTTGGTAGAAACTGGAAGTAGAGAATAAAGCTGGAGATGGGGGGAGGTACCTTTTCCTAATGGTGAAAAAGGATGCTGTCTGGATCCAACCTTTGGCTTTATAGTCTAAAGAGAGACCCATTTTTTTACCATGACCCATGGTAACTAAACCACATATTAGAACAAGGCACTCACTTGAATACAAGTTATAATATTATGAGCAATACCAGACACCCTCCTGACAGTGTGATGAGGATTGTCTTATCCTATAAAAGAGCACCGCCAGGACCAGAAAATTGCTTAGTGAGGGAGGAGAATTACTTTCAACTATTTATTATTTTTGTTTGTTTGTTTGTTTGTTTATCCATTCGTTCAATAAATATTCCAGAATACCAACTCTGGGTATTCTTTGGAGAATAACATCCTCACTGGAGTTAATGTTCTAGTGAGAAAGATGGATACAAATAAGCAAATATATAATACAACATTTAAAACAGTTTTAAATAAGAAGAATATAGTCTATATGTATAACTGATGAATATATAACTGCAAATTGTCATAAGGGCTATGAAGGGAATAGATGGGAGGCAGTTATAAAGCCTAAGACTAGACTCCTGATATTAGCCAATTACTCTAATCATCTGATGGAGACAGCTAATGCCTCTTTTTCTCTGCAGGCAGGATCTTGCCCCAGGCAGCACTTGAATCCAAGACAGCAATGCTCCGCTATCTGGGTCAGCAAACCTGTGGCCCTTGGGGTGTTGCGCTGCCCCTTGCCCCTGCCTGGCATCACCCATCAGTCTCGGCGCTCTTTCCACTGCAGTTGCACTCAGACTGAGATTCCTTTTCAACATGGGGTCTAGGCCTATGCATCTGAGTAGGCTAGCAAGATAAAAGCACTGTGTGTTTTATGATATTTTTAATTTATTTTTGAAGAGGTGTCTTGACCCAATTTCTTTTTTTTAAATAATAAATTTATTTTTTTATTGGTGTTCAATTTGCCAACATACAGAATAACACCCAATGCTCATCCCATCAAGTGTCCCCCTCAGTGCCCGTCACCCACTCACCCCCACCCCCCGCCCTCCTCCCCTTCCACCACCCCTAGTTCGTTTCCCAGAGTTAGGAGTCTTTATGTTCTGTCTCCCTTTCTGATATTTCCTACCCATTTCTTCTCCCTTCCCTTCTATTCCCTTTCACTATTATTTATATTCCCCAAATGAATGAGACCATATAATGTTTGTCCTTCTCCGATTGACTTATTTCACTCAGCATAATACCCTCCAGTTCCATCCACGTTGAAGCAAATGGTGGGTATTTGTCGTTTCTAATGGCTGAGGAATATTCCATTGTATACATAGACCACATCTTCTTTATCCATTCATCTTTCGGTGGACACCGAGGCTCTTTCCACAGTTTGGCTATTGTGGACATTGCTGCTAGAAACATCGGGGTGCTGGTGTCCCGGCGTTTCATTCATCTGTATCTTTGGGGTAAATCCCCAGCAGTGCAATTGCTGGGTCGTAGGGCAGGTCTATTTTTAACTCTTTGAGGAACCTCCACACAGTTTTCCAGAGTGGCTGCACCAGTTCACATTCCCACCAACAGTGTAAGAGGGTTCCCTTTTCTCCGCATCCTCTCCAACATTTGTGGTTTCCTGCCTTGTTAATTTTCCCCATTCTCACTGGTGTGAGGTGGTATCTTGTTGTGGTTTTGATTTGTATTTCCCTGATGGCAAGTGACCCAATTTCAAACTCTGGCTAGAAATCAGCCAGCTCCCCTTAAACAGCTGATTAAGTCAATACCCCAACTATTTCCCTTCGGACTTTCACAGTCCAGGCCATGATGCACCAGCCCCAGCCCTAACTGCTCTTGGGGCCAGGTAGCAGACAACTAGGGACAGCCCTTATGCCCTGGAATCTGTGAAATTATTCAAATGAGCTAACCCGCAGGGAGCCTGGGAAACCAGCTGACCCCAGCTGCTGGCCATACAAAAACTGCCCTATAGCCTGAGTAATCTTTCCCCTGACTCCCAGCTGCAAGCCGTGTGGCCCTGGGTGGCAGCCCTCCACGCTGAACTGTGTATTCTCTGCTCAATCGATTTTCAACCTAGTTGTCTTCTCCCATGCTGGTGTGGTGCAATCTGTCCTGACATCAAAGAGCTGAGTCTAAACATTCTGTCCACTCATTCTACCTAGGGAGAGTCTTTCCATTGTTCCTGGAGGGATGGAGGCCTAATGCCTAAAAATCCTCCATCCCTGGTTGGTCTTAGGATGGACACTGCCAGTTCATGACTCTCTGCCTCCAACTGTTTCCTGCTTCTGGGCTGACCAGCCCTCTCTTCATGGAACAATTCTTTTTCATTCTGGGTTGTCACACTCCAAAGTCCTGCTCTGGTCTAGCAGCTACACTCTTTCTTCCAGGAGACTTTATGTCCCTGATCCATAATGTGCAGTCTATAATTTACTCTATTTCCAAATTCCTGGGGATGAACTTGTCAGGCCCCTAAATATTAAAAAAAAAAAAAAGGTTCCCTTTGCCTGATTCAATCAGAGTATCCTAAGTTTGGGTAACCATTTTGCTGTACAGTACCCAAGAATTATACATGTACAAAATACAATGCAATTCATAAACAGTAGAGGCATAGTTTCTCTTTGGTGCAGACTGATCAGAGTACCACAACTGGCCTTTTCTTTTGGTTTACT